TGCCAAGACGTACATCAAATCATACATCCAGCAATAGACACTACTCACTTCCAACAGAAAACGAGTTAATGCTGATGCGATACTAATCTATTATTTAAATAAATGACGATACTTACTATTCGCAGCCTAGACTGACTGATCATTAGAATTTACTTAGAATAATTACTGGCAAAGGTTAATTAGCCAAAGAAAAAAATGAAACAGAAATTCATGCAAAGGAAAACTCATGCACAGTGAGTAGCCAAAAAACAAATCCTGCATTGATCTTCGAAAGTAGGCCATATGTATGTACTAAGGCAGGAGACGATAGTCGGCTCCTGACTAAGAATAAATTGTATGTATTAGTTTTTCCTTGCTGATGCATAGAGGGGGAACGCCATTTTAACACATATTATTGATTATTTTAGGTGCACTACCGTGGAGCAGTTTTTATAATGCTGCCTTGCTTGCTAGTCTTTACCAGTTTAAATACTTGGGGGTCTAATAGTGAGTTTACCCAACAGGACGGCCGAAAGGAGAAGACGGCAAAACTCTTCGGTGTGACAAGTGTGATAAGGCTACTACTTGTGTGCTTTGTCGTGATCTTCACCTCGCATCAATTTTTTCTGGTGTTTTCCTAAAAGATCTTTTTAAGGGGGCGGGGGGGGAGGTGAAGTTTGACGTAACGTTTTTTTAAAAAAATTAAGGTCACGCTTGTCACTCAAGGTCTGCCGTCTTCTTTCCTCTCCTGTTGCGTAGTTCTCTAATGTGAGTGCCGCTCTCCATTCACACATTCTGGCAGGAGGTCTGAACCAACTTATGAGAGTTGATCTGTAAATTTATTTAAGAAAGAAACAAACTAAACTCTATCCTTTATCCTTTGTATGCCATATCGAAATGAAAATGGTCGTTAACAGCACTGTATTTGATGCCCAGCATTTTGAATGATTGCATTTCCAAGAAAATGGAATTCAAAATCCTCTGCTGAAAAAAATGGAATTAATGTCTAGGGCATTTGATTTCTAGTCTCATCGCGAAGTGACACTCGTCTTAGACTTGTAATGTTACTGATTAAAGAGCTTGCCAGAGGTAAACTCACCCTTTCTGTACTTAAAATAGAAACCGAACATCATTGAGCACCTTCAATCAAAACATGGAGACATGACCACCAGAGCAGCAACCTCTGAAGTGAGACAAAGCAAGGAAGAGGTAAACTCATTTCAAAACCTTTAGACTAACGTCCTTCAACAAGGGGTTCCAAACGGTTGCTGATCCGTTGTGGATGATTGAACAATGCTCCTATTTTTATTGTCAGAAAGTTTCTGAAAAGTTTGTGAGTTAATTTCTTTCGTTTCCTTCACTTATTACCTGCCAAATGCATCTATTTTGGTCAAGTACGGTACGACTTCCAAGGTTTTGCTGTCTTCAAATAATTTAAACGTCTCATAGCGGAAAAGTGATTGCACGAGGTTGAATAACATAAGTGACAGGAACCTGCAAGTAATAATTATAAGTCACTGAAGAACAAGTACATCGACGTTTTGTCGCATTTTGTTATATTTTCATAGATACTTGCGAATTATAAATTTAATTTGTTTTCAGGAGGCGGAAAAAGCAGAAATAAAAGATGGCATAACAATGACAATGGATAAAAAGAAGGCTAAGCGGAAGAAAAAAAGAAAGAGAAAAACTGATGACCACAACGACTCAGAAGAAGAAAAGGTAAGCCGAAAAATGACAATTTTTTTCCAAGGATTATTATTTTGTTATTTAACGATCGACATGGAAATCAACACGGGCAAGTGAAAGTGCGCAAAAATTGTTTTCACCTTCATTGCACTCCATGCTTTAGATGTAACCAAAAGATACGGATCAATGACTTACATGTATCATCACATGTATCCCTCCCCCCCACCCGGCGATGGGGTGGAGGGAGCTGGCTCACTTCAGATAAAATAAGTAAAGATGAACCGCTCCTCAAAGGCCATCTTGGGGAAAGAAGAAAGTAGCCGTTGTAGAGAGGTTTAAACAAGAGTCAATGTATGGACTGTCCACCAAAAAAAGTGCCCGTTGTAGAGAGGTCGGCCGTTAGTGGAGTTTTGTGTGCACTGATGAAATACGGGTTTTTTTCCTGAAGGCATTGTACTGATAATTTATTTCAGGAAGCCACCGCTGAACATCAAGGCAAACTTGCAAAGGAATATCCTTTGACAGTTAGTCTTCCTAAAGACTGTAACGACAATCGAGATGAAAAGGAGATCAACAGGACAAGTAAGCTGATGAGCGGATTTAAGGGTTGGTCGAGGGAACCGAGGCCATCCCTTTTTCTGTGCAATTTCGTATTCTTAAAAATATAATTCTCAGTAACATAAATAGTATCTATATTGCTGCCAGGTGTCCAGGTCACCCCTTTCTAAATTTTCTGGACCCACCCCTGTCAGAGTTAAGGCTAACCTTAACAAGTACTGCCAGGCGGAACCTCGATATAACATACTTGATAATACAAAGTCCTCGGTGACGAGTGATTTTCTTCGCTCCAGTTATAGTAAAATATATATGCCTAGATATAACGAAACCTTGTTATATAAGTTATAGCCAAAACATGTTTTTCCAGTCTAGAAAGCTTAAGAGGCAGATAAGACTACTTCCAATTTCAAGGAAATTAAAGGACTGAAAAAGATTAAACACTGCATGTACCAGGAAAGTTTCATTTAATCAAAATTAAGTTAAATGAAATAAAACCGAGAAAAGTCTTATTTATTTATTTATTTATTTATTTATTTATTTCTTATAGCAGGAGAATATGGAACCGACAGTAACTTTGAGAGTGAATGGTCTGATAGCCAAAGTGAAATGGAAGGTTATTGGTCTCATGACGTTCTTTCCGATAACAAGCCAAGATCATCTTTATGGGGTAAGCGAATACATCACAAAAATTTCTTTTCTGACGACTTATTTTCAGTAACAATGAACTGAGTACATGTACTCTTATTAATTTAGCATAAACAAGAAGGTTAATAGCATAATTCACTTTTTTTTTTTTCAGAACAAATAGTATATCAGATATCGTTGGTGGCATTGTAAGAGGCATTTGCAACTGAATCGTTTATTAACTCAGTTGAGGGCCACAAGTTCAGAAGTTTACCACATTTACAGTCACCTGTTACCTTCTTTAGTCATTCTGACCAATTAGCAAAAAGAATACCCCGCACTTTAAAATCATTATATCTCACTGTTCATAGTTTCAAATGAAACTTTGTTAAACACTTAAAAATAAGCGAAAAACGTTTGACACAACGTTTGGATGTCGCCATGACATATCAAGTGACAAAGACTGTAAAAACTAAAAACTGACCTAATATATACGGTTTAAAGTGAGAAAATAGAGAAGGTATTTTCGTTTACAGGTGAAAACTTGTTACTTTTGTTCTTTATTTTGTCTTTTTAAACCGTATAAATTAGATGAGTTTTTAGTTTTTGGCTTTGTCACTTGATATGTCATGGCGACATCGGAACGTTGTGTTAAACTTTTTTCGCTTATCTTTAGTCTAAAGTATTCACAGTTTGTGACAGAAAAGGTTGCCTTAGGTGGTAATTTCTTACTTCTTTTGTTGTTAGAACAAGAAGAAAACTACGACTCCAGCTCGTCATACAGTGCAGAAGAAGAAAGTGAACTTTCTGATGACATTTCAACAATTACTATCGTAGTGCCCATGTCGCTCGTTCCTCAACGTAGGCCTATATCAGATGAAAGAGTAAGTAACCATTTTAAACGAGTACTTATTTGTTCGAAAGGTGGATAGTGCTATCCATTTTGTAAATATCTTTTAAGTGGATAACGCAACTGGTTTTCCTTATACCTATGATGTTCTTATTAAATTTGTCATTGATTTGACTGCCCTTGTGTTTTACTGCTTAGTAAATACGTGATATTTTGCTCGCATGCTCAGTTTTGAATTTGTATCTTGCTCCCCTGAATTTGAACCCATCACCTTCATTTGGATGTCTATGTCCCTTTTTGTTATTGTTCTGAATGGATCAGAGTAATGGTTGAAATAAGATTTCAGCCAAAAAATTATCATAGAGGCTGATTACATAAGTCAGGCTGAACCAGTTTGTTGGGCAAATCAACTTTGGGCGGATTAAATGACAACCGAGCCATCCCATCTAGCTGGGTTCCTAGTATTATGGAAATTTTCCACGTCAGTCACGCTGGCCGGACTATTCGACAAACCGCGTAGCACCGGGACAGAAGGTAACAAACCGTTGTGCACTACTTCCAGTCTCTCTGTACACATGACTGTTCCAGGCTGGCTCGCTTCCACGGTAATGCTTCGATTAAAGTCACCACAGTAAAGCCAGGTAGCCCATCATTCCGGGCAGGCCGGGCTCATGTAATCAGGTCTTAATTCATCTTGCAAAGTACTCTACAAGCGCCTGATAAAGCGAGAATCTTATTTTAGGACCTTAGTACTGCAAGTCTGTTACGCTGATCACTCGACCAAGCTGCCTCCATCCTTCTCGAATTTTCAGCTCCCTGATGGTTAGTGTCACTGTTTTCTAGTCTCTTGCATTGTTTACTGGAAAAAACTTGGAAGGAGGCTGCTGAAGGCTTGCCCTTGGTAAAAAAAGATAAAATAAAGGCACTAAAAGAAAGCGAGATAAACAGACTTGAGGACCTAAAGGAACGAAATTCCCCCCTTTTCTCTCAAGTAAGTGAGCCACTGCCTGATGAGCGACAGCGAGCCCTCTAAGCTGCTAAGTTTAAAGACAGAACAGGCTGTACTTTATCTGAATGTGGTCATCGAAAAGTCGTTCCAATTAATTTCAAACAATGTGTGTTTGAAAATTGATCAATCAAAATCAAAACATAAAAAAGCAAACGCAATAGCATTAATTTTTTTAAATAATTAATGCTATCTTTAAAAAAATTACCCCTAATGATAATAATGTGTTTCTAGGGTGAATTTTGCTTCATACTCGACGATCTCTTGTTGGACATATTTAAAGACTCCGGTGAAATGGTCTTAGAGCTGCCATTTTTGGAGGATGCAGTTTTGAGCAGAACTGGGTGCAGTTTTATTACTTTACACAACAAGGTTTTGTCTCAGGAAATGGATTTCGAATCCCTAGGCATCGAAGATTTCATTGAAAATGACTCCCGAATTTTTTGGTTGTATGATTCTCGGGTGGTTGTCGGATTAGATGTCTATCCTTGGCAACAAGTAGATAACGTGGAGGACGGAAACATCGTCACCCTTGATCTTTCCAACCGTTGTATTACATCTTGTAGCCCTGTAGTCGAGACATGTCACCAATGGCGAAACGCTACTTCTGCAGTCATGAGAGGGAGTACCATCAGTTCAGAGACTTGGCCTTTTGCAGTTCTGGACATTCTTTGCTGGTTTTGTCCTTTTCTTCGCCAGATCGACGTAACGAGATGTACAGGCTTCTCAAAGAGTTATCTCACGAGTGAGAGTTGCCAACGGCGAATTGAAATAATTGATTATTTGGATCCTTCGTTTATCGCCAAATGTCCAGATAGTGGCGAAGCGATTAGAGAAATGTTGGCGGAAAGAGCAATTTCACCACGCACAAGATGTGAAGGTTGGTCCCTTTTGCACAGTGCCATTTTCCTTGGCGACACACAACTTGTAACACAGCTGCTTCAATGTATTCGCTATGAATATAACAACACAGAAGATGACTTATTACTCCAAACGGCGCTAGAGTTAGCAACTGCTCTTCATAATCTGGAGATAATAATGTTGTTAAGAAGTATAAATGTCGTTTACGAGGATCCTTGCATGCTAGTTCAACATTGCTTTCTGAACCGACTTTGCTTTGAAACGTTTGATCATCCTGTGATAAAAGCCGTGGTTTCTAATGAAACAACACTGCAGGGGGCCAAAAACTTACACGACTCGCAGCAATGTAATGTGTCTTCTGTACTGCTTGCACTGTGTGAAAACGGTAATGTGAACTTTAAAAGAAAAGTTTTTGAAGAAATTCTTCGGAAAGTACACTCCTGCCTTAAGACAGATTGTTGTTTGCTATTTTCTTGCGGAGATGAGAAAGCAATTCAAGAATGTTTGCAAATTTTGATGGAAGAAGCCGAGGGCTTTAGTAATTTAAGAATTGACGACTTTCCCTGCCTCATGTACTCATTGCCAAGTCTTTATTTGATTGAGCTTTTACTGAGTGAGGGAGCAAACATTGACGACAGAGACAATTTGGGGTGTACCGCTCTTTTTCACGCTGTGGAAAAGGCGTCAGTCACGCTCACGCCTTATTGTTTAAACCTTATCAAGTTTTTGCTCGACAAGCAGGCAAATCCACATGTGAGAAATAACCTGGGAGATTCTCCCCTTTTGTACAGTTTAACGCGATGCTCTCCTCCTTCTTGTAAACTGTGCCCCAAAATGATGACACATGAACCCGTCAACTTGAGGTTTGATGCGCCTTTCTTTACAGATCGAATAGTAGAGGTCTGGAGCCTTCTTTTGACTGCCAGAGCGAGAGGCAACGTAAAGGACGAAATGGACAGATCTCTGTTGCATTTGCTAATGACATTCTTGGAGACCGGAATTATTCCCCCTCCTATATGCCATGAGTTGATTTGCACTGGCCTAACGCTCTTGCAGGATGGGGGTCTTGAAGTCAACGCCAGAGATGCCCAAGGGAACACCCCGTTACATTGCTGGGCAAACCTCTCAAATGAGATAAGTAGTGATGATTTGATTCAAATCGGAAATAAACTTGTTCTTCATGGTGGCGCTGTTAATGCAAGAAATGACAAAGGCGAAACTCCACTTCATTTTTCAAAGAGTTGGGAGCAAGTGGATTTCTTCATCGAGAAAGGTGCAGAGGCGGACGCACAAGATCTTTATGGGAACAATCCTTTTCTCAAATTCATTGAGAGCGGTCTATTAATTACACATCATGTCGAGGAAGACCGATGGAAAAGATGTCTTGCATCTGGAATGAATCCTTTTAGTACAAACTATGACGGCAGGTGCTTTTTTGATGTTTTGTTAGAAAAACAGTTTTTCAAGAGCGCACTTAATCTATTGAAGGTGATATTCGAAAGCGACGTAAATGAACACCTAAGAAATACAGCCCGGGATCATCGAAATCGGAATGGAAACTCGTTACTTCACATTGCTTGTGTTGTAGAGAACACAAATGCTTCACTGATCTGTGATTATTTGCTGCGAAATGGATGGATCGCTAACTTAAAAAACACATACGACCAAACACCGTTGCTTTTGGCATGCAAAAATGTGAATAGCCTTAATTCTGTACTTTCAAAAAACATCCTTTTACTCCGACGGTACCATGCTGACCAAAGCATTCCAGACTGTCAGGGAAGCACATGTGAAGCTTTGCTCCGCAGGGATCTCTGCGTCCTGTTATATCAAGAAGTTACGAGAGTTAGCCTTTCCAACCAGTTAAAATGGATTCAGCAATCTGTCAACCATCACTGTGCGCTAGCAGAAGTTGCACTTGGTTCAAAAGCTCGAAAAGTCGATAACTTCTACCACCACGAGAACTGCATAGGAGCAGGCTCTTTTGGATTGGTATTTCCCGGTCTGAATGAAAAAGATGGCAGAGAGGTAGCCATAAAACGGCTAGAAAAGGCGAGACTGGAGCAAAGAGGAACCGTGCTTGAAAGAGAGATTAAGTGCTTGCAGGAACTCTCTGATTGCTCTTTTGTACTCAATTACATCTCATGTGCCAGCGATGAAAATTTTCAGTACCTAGTAGTTGAGCTCATGGAGGGCTCTTTGGATGATTACCTCCCAAATAATGAAGTATGCGAAGAGGCTTTCACGATTTGTTTGAACATTGGTAATGGTTTAGAGTTTCTACACAATAGAAATGTTCTTCACAGGGATCTAAAACCTCAAAACATTTTGTACAAAACGCAGCCAGAGTTTGTTGTTAAAATAAGCGATTTTGGAATCAGTAAAATATTGCACGGCGAACAAAGTGGTGCTCTAAGTGAGACGGTCTTGAATTCAAGGGTAGGTACAAGATGCTGGATGGCTCCTGAACTCCTAACCAACAAGTCAAAAGATCACAGCGAAGCATCAGACATTTTCAGCTGGGGCCTCATTTTCCATTATGTCCTTGCGATGAAGAAACATCCTTTTGGATCGTATTCTGATGAATCATTGGCGGAAATCAATCCTCACGAAACTGAAAGAAACATAACCAGTAATCAACAAAGTTTCTGTGAATCTCTCGCACCGGAGGCTAACAATCTTCTAACGCACATGCTTCTGCCTAAACCAAAACGACGGCCGTCTGCCTCTTCCCTGCAGAATTGTCCTTTCTTCTGGGATAATCGTAAGAAAGTCGAATTTCTCACGATTGTTGGAAATCAGAAGGAATTCGAGGAACCCAGAGCAAATCTGTCTCGCCCTTTATCCGTGGTGGAACAGAACTTAGAAAAACTTTACCTAGAGTGCTTAGAAGGAGCCTCTGAAGATTGGGAGACTGCCATACAGGATGTTTATGACGAAGTGACAGGAATGTATAAATATCGAAACTACAAAACCACATCGGCTGTTGAACTTGTTAGGTTTATCAGAAATTCTTATATCCATTCACATGATCTTTCTCCTGAAGTCAAGGATCTCTTGTGGGAAGATTTTGTTTTTCTCAAGCGCTTTCCTTTCTTGGTGACAGTAGTTTATAGAGCAGTTAAAGCGTGTAGTAGCTGGAGAGCGAGAAATCAATTGAAAAACTTTTTCTAATAACCTGACTCGTAAGGTGATTCAACTTGAAATGGGTGGCCGAATTTAGAACGTAAAAGGCGAAGAGAAGGTTAAACTAAAAAATGAGGCAAAACTCCTGTTTAGAAAGCATTGTTTGGTAATGGCCGCAGATGCTCCCAGTACATTTATCTTGATCAATTTACAACAAGTTAAAGCAAGATGCTTCGAATACTCATCAGATCATGTATATATAGCCAGCTCTTCGAAAGTCATCTATTCTATCACAACTGACGAACTTATTGTCAAGTTATAGGACGCTTTTGTAGGACATCCGACCTGAAGAAAGTTGAGGACCTTCAGGAAAGACAGAGTACTACGCACAGTCAAAGCACTCGTAAACGAGCACCCAGGAATGTATAAAAAATGGTCGCAACGAGAGCTGATCGACCATGAGACTATGAGATACTGACTTACCGAGAGCGGACGCTCACGGGAGTTTTTAGCAAAAAGCTTAGCATAACTACCAATACATTTAAGTGAAAAAATTACCAATAGAGTCTTTTTTATCACTTTTTACACGCGACGTTAACGAACCGCAGCCCTTGAATATTACATTCCTACGGCGCGACTACTCGAACTGTGGCACTTAAAACGGTTACACTGAAGCATTCAAAATAGCTCATGCACGTTAAACGTGCCTATGTTACTTTCTCGAGATTGGTTGAAAGGCTTTAGGTTCTTATTACCCCATGGACATATCTCGGAAACTGTCATGGGTAATTCTTTTGTTCTTTTTGACATATCCATGGAAATTTCCCCGAGGTGATTTCACCTTGTGAAAATTGGTCACACAAAAAGTTGCTTCCCCTTGAACAAGAGCCTTCTACCTAAAGGTAAAATGACTGGTATAACCGCACCTAATTTTAGATGCCCAGATCACAGTTTTTTAACCTCATCAACACAGATTTGTCATTTGTACTTTTTTGACATTCTACTTTTATCTTAATCATGATGTAATGCTTTTATAGTGTCCTTAATTAGCATACATTTTGAGCTAACTACAGGTTTCACATAAATAATTAATTAAGTACTTCATTCTTCCATTCATTCATTTATTCGAAATAAAGAAAGATAGTAGATTTCAAGCTCGCGATAATCAGCATATCAGGATCTTGAGACAATGCAAAAATTCCCGATTGAATTCCCGAAAACTTGCCGTGCGCTCTATCCTGTGAAGATCACTGACATTGAAGAGAATCATGGAGAGCAAGGCCGTACACTCGGTTTACATTTGACAGGTCCCGGTATAAATTCAAGAATGTAGATAGTGTACCTACCATATGAAATAAAGAATGGTGATGAATTTTAAGCTCAGTGAATGAATTTTTGCCAGAACAACGCCATAAAGTAGGTTTACATTTGACACGCGTCACTGATTCTGTTAGGACCAGCAATTTCGAGGGAGCACTGTATGAAATAAAGAAATGTGTCTCGGTGAATGAATGTGAAGGATGTGTTAATTAGTCTGTCACTGTCATTTCAATTTTACAGCCAACCCAAAGAGACTGCTGATGATATTTCCCAGTTATGCAATTTTATTGTTTTTAGAAAGTCTTGCGCACTTGTCCCTTGTAATCAATTGACTGATTTTTCTTCTTAAAACGTTCGCTATTATACAACAGATATCGCTACGCTAGTGTATTCGGTGTGGTGGTGTGGTTAAATTTTGATTCGTGGGTCAAATTTTGTTTTTCTCTCGTACTTGTGCATAGTGATGAGCGATAATGAAGATAAAGCAAAACTGATTAAATAATACAAATTGGACTGAGGACAAAATCAACCATCACATTTACAAGGGTCAATTGGTGCAGGTTGGGTTAAAGTGTCTAAAGTTGCCTTAAATATCGCATAATGTAAAGCGGTTAATGTAAGGACGTTTGATAGTAGATAGAAAGAATTCTAGCACCTCCATTTAGCACTTCCTATTTAACGAAGCTAAAAAGACCAGAGATGCTTAAAGTTTTTTTAGTACAAAATGCAAAATGCTTCCTTTCCATCGCCACGATGAAATTCTGCGTCATTATTGCTTTTTATCCTGAATGCCTCTGATCTGGATTTTCGAAATTCTCTTTCCTGTAGCAACTTTCAGTCCGCCGGCTGCATTATGCATGGTTCGCTCCTTGTGGCTTTTCATCCCGTCTAATCACTGAAATCTCTTACCGCATTGGTTGCGTGTATAAGAGTAGTATAGTAGGAAACGAATTAATCTTTTTGGGGCAGGCGTAATTTTAACTTCACCAGGAACACATTACTGCCGATGACGTCATAGTCTTTTATAACAGAACAAAAGTTAAGGGCGCGTTCTGATTGTTCAACTAGCCATCTATCATTTACCCATGGCACGCCTACGAAAAATTAGCGCTGTAGAACCGGCAAATTGACCAAATGTCCTCTTTTGTGAGGTTAAAATTGCACCAATAAAATACACATTTTAGATTTTAAAGGGAGGTGAATAGGCAATTTTACAATTACCTTAAGACGAAGAGGGGCTGATGCAATGAAGGAAAAATTCCAGGAGGCAAGTTTTTGAAAAGCATTATTTGTTTACGCGCGCGCAGATGACAGCAAGTCAACTCGTTAATGCCGATGACTGACCGAACCTTAAACAAATGGAAATGTTTTCTGTTTTTATTATGTTATTAACGAAATGGTAAACGTTGTAGCTCAGGGCAACCATTGAATTTATGGATGCAGTTTGCTAAGCACTTAAGAACCTGGGGTTGCTCTTACGCTTCTTTCCTGCTTAGCACCCTCGCGCGTGCATCCATAACTCGATGGTTGACGCTGCTCGTTTGACATTACTGAATCGTATTTATCTCGTAACTTAAATGCGGGGGATTCTCATTGTTAAGTCGATGACTGTCTTGGTTTCTGATTGGTTAACTAGAAACTAAAGTATTCAATGGGCGGTTTATGATGCCGAAGAAATAAGCGCTAACTTGTGTTTACCTTAAAATCACAGAGCCGTCTTGCAATTATGAAAATTCTATTTTCTGCCGCTTTCATTTTGCAACAAATTGTAACAGATCCGGTCACTGATTCTTGGCGCGCTAGTTAATTAGATCCCTCCATGAAAAGGTCAACTCGGTCCCGACTATATTACTCTAGAGGTTTCTCATTTCCGAATATTCTTCCATGACATTGCTTCGCAGAGTCTGAACCACATTGATTGCATACATAAGGTTTCAATCAGGTGCGTCGTTTGTCTTTTGTGTCGTGGTCCTTTAAAAAAATTTTTTGCACTGGGTTCATTTAAAAAACCTCTCCATTACTTGTGGCTCTTTGGAATGGCAATCACTTAACTTCTTGTTCATACATCACAATACATTTCTGAGGAGGTAGCTATTTTCGTGCTTATCATATACAGATGTTCCATTCCAAATACAAGGCAAATACAGCAGAGTTTTCTTTCGAGCGATGAGTCACACTACTTGATTGCATCTCCTTGTTCACTTATACGGTAACTTCAACGATAGAGATGGTAAAATGTTTGGCACAACAATGACCACTGAACCTATTTTCATGTGCTGGAGCTAAATTTTCTTTTGCGATCTTTACTGAGAGAACTGAACTAGCTATGGAATTCATTTTCTGATGCATGAAAATTCATATCGTGAGACCAAAAAAAGGAAAACTTCATAAAGTGGGCTTAGGATGTGATTCAGTTCAATAGCGGCTTAAAATTTATTTCCTTACGTTAGGCTAAGATCTTAACCCGAACAGAGTTAAAAAGAGTCATTAAAGGATCAAATTGAAACAAAACGAAATTGATATAGTATGTAAGCAAAAATAATCACCGCCCAATATGCTTACCGGACGTTTCGTACCCACGGACGTTTCGTACCCAGTCGATTCGTACCCAAAGTTGAGATGATTCGTACCCAACCCTAAGATGATTCGTACCCAAACCTTAGATGATTCGTACCCATGCAATAACCAAGTCTTTATGTTGTAAACAGTGTGTTTTCATAGTTTAAGTTAAGGCTTTCACTAAAACAAAGGATCGAAACCGCAGAACTAACCACAAGACAGGACGTACTGGTGGAGATTGTGGGACGAAACATATGTGTTTGTTTACGTCCGAATTTGCTACATGTCTGAACGTCGACTAATCGAAGACTATTTGAAGAGCGATAGCATAAGAAGAATACGACAAGGTTAGTGACACAAACCCAGCCGAACACAAAGTTAAAGAAAAAGTGACGTGAAAGAGTGACTTACAGAATTCGCATGTTTGTGAAAAGCGCAGTAATATATTTTAAAGGAAATCCTTACTGATACTTATTACAAGCGGGGACATGTGAGTTGTCCGAGTGACACCCGCCCCTTGAAAAACATAATCAAGAAATAATGACTTATTACAAGCGGGGACATGTGAGTTGTCCTAGTGACACCCGCCCCTCTCACATCCGCCGCAGAGTAGGGCTTCTTGGCGGGAGGTGACGATCTCGGAGCAAAAGATACAATAAAATTCTTCCATAGCGTTGATATTTGATGTTAGCGAAGTAATCGATAGCGATAGTGTTCTATGAACTGGTGACATGCGAATAAATGCTAGGCCTTTTATACTGTGAATCCCTTCTCCGATGGATCGAAATTGCAGCGATTTCATTGGTGAATGCTGATGTTGTTTACTATCCTTTGTTAATTGACATACAATGGACCCATCAAACAATGAAAAGTGGGAACAAGCTAATTTGTAAGTATCATGTCCTTTTCACTTGTATGTTAATGAAAAGTCTCACCTCCTCTAGTATCGGCGCCGCTCACGCGTCACGAGTGTACACAAAGAAAGTGAGAGGTGGTTAATTTCATCTAACTCTCGTGAGAGCGCACGACTTAACAAAATGGATCTCGTGAAAGCGCATGAACTAACAAAATACAACTTTGTAAAGTTTATGATTCCACGAGTTCAAACATCGCCATATAAATTGGACCCATCAGGCAATGAAAAGTGGGAAGAAGCTAATTTCGTGTAA